GGATATTTACCTCGCCGCTTCGCGGCTCGGTACACATCCACCGCTAACCACCTCCACTTTGGTGAATAGTTGTTAACTAACCTTTGAACAACCAGGCCCAGAAAGACATGGGAGAGAAGAACTGTCTTCTCTTGAAAAGTGCATACCAAAGCAGCTCAACAAATATTTCATTAATAATTCCTTCCCCACAAAAAAAAACAATTATGTGGAATTATGTGGAAAACTTATCAGCTTTCTAGAACAGAAGTCAATCATCAATTTGATAGTTAAAACTTCATAATTTTGGAAAAACTTGTCTGGAGAAGTCTCACAGTTCTGTTCATAACACAAGATCACAGGACCATCAGCTGTGCAGATGCCTGCCAATCAACAGCTGTTTTGAGAGAAACTTGGAAAACCTTTGGTTAATGTAAAAATCTAGAATCAGCTTTGAAATAAAGACTGTTAAGAACAAGAAGAAACAAATTTCACATCAAAAGTACACTTAGAAGATCTGTAAATTTGACAGTGGAATACAACTATGATTGCTAGTGTTTGTGTACTCAACAAGAGGTACATTGTGCAACTTAAGTTAAAGACCAAATGTTAAGCTTTAGTTCATAAAACGGTACAAAGCTGAAGTTTTTTATGGAGGGCTCAACACTAACAGTAGCCAACTAGCCACAGACTAGTAGAAATTCAGTTTTGGCTGGTGGTTTTTTATTTCCACTAGCCAGTTTGGCTTGTAAACAAACTGAAATTGTCATGACATCTAAGATGTCACTAGCAACTTGGCGAGTAAGTTGAATGTTAGTGTTGAGCCCTGAAATCACTTATATACTTCCAGACAAAGGTCATCTTTGATGACTTGTTCACGTATGTACATCCTAAGATTGTCGTAGTTTAGCCAGCCTCTGTGACAACTCATCCTGCAAAGATTCAATGAAGTGTGTTGTTACAATGTTTGATTATTTTAATTACAATTTGTTTAAAAAATAACAAGAGCGAAGTAAGTATTAGTAAACACAACATCAGAATATCATTTATCACCAATGATATTAGAGGCTAGCTCTGATATTTGCTATAAATGCGAGAGATTAAATGCACAGAGAGTGCATCTCTATTTTGAGAATGAGCATTGCAGCTGAAGATTTTACCCACAGAGCTTCAACTTTGTGTATGTGTAAATTGTAGTTTACCTGTTCTGCAGAGGCAGATGAAGCTGAACCAATTGGCTGACTCTGTTGTCCAGCTGGTAGTTCCATGTTGAGTTCCAAGCTATTTAAAGATGAGTTTTTAAAAGATAACTATTAAAATAATTGATCAAAGTTTATCTTTAATAATTTAACAGATTGTTCAATGTAAATCCATGTTAGTGTGAAGTGGTTATTCCACAATTACACAATAAAAATTAACCCTAAGTAGAAGTTTATCTGTAGTCATAAGAAACTGTATGGCAAAGAAATAGTTTCACTTTTGCAAAGAAAAAGGCAATTAAAGTGCCTATAACCCCTAAAAAATTTTTTGACCATATTAAATCTCTCTATTGCACTGAGCAAAATGCTGCAAAAATTTTTGTGTTTGGTTAAAACCGCGATTTTTTATGAATTTACAAAGTCGTGGAAAATTGCATTTTTCAAAACACAACCGAGGCACGGAATTATCAAGATGGGTCTGGGTCGAGCACAGTTTGTGACTTAATTCCAGGCTTTCCAATGAGTTTGCTTGCAGGACTGGATGAAGTATCTTGACGGATATGCCTGATAAGTGCATTGTGCGGGTATAGCAACACTCCCAACAAAGAAAAAAGAATAGCACTTCATCTGATACCTTTTTATGGGGCAGATGACCCGGAAAAAAAAAAAAAAGAGAAGAAAGAAGTGGGTTGACTTTGTGCAATTAAAGCAAGCACATTGGAAGCCCACAAAATACTCGGCCATGTGTTCCAACCACTTCGGAGAAGAAGACTATTCAGTCATGTTTTCTGCTCTGACTAGCGAGACCATGTAACAAAGGTTGTGAAAAGATGGAGTTGGAATTTGCATCTTTCTGACTGTTCACGCATAGAATGTTGAGGAAACAAAATCAGCTGAAAGCGAGCGAAGTAAGAGAAAGGTGAGAAAATTTTACCAGATCAGGCTTCAGCAAAGGTTTCATCTTGTTGGGAACATATAATATTGACTGATATTGGGTCAGAGCGCCACTGCCAATGGCCCGGAATGACGTCACTAGCCCCAGTCTCTGGTTCACTGGGTCATTTGAAAAATAAACCTGACTTTGAAAAGTCATAAAACATCGTGGTTTTAACCAAACACAAAAATTTTTGCGGCGTTTTGCTCAGTGCAATAGAGAGATTTAATATGGCCAAAAAATTTTTTGGGGTTATAGGCACTTTAAATGATTACTGCATTTTGTTTACCCTGCTTCATCAGCAACCTGCTGCATAAGACTATCAACTTGTCCCTACAAATGAAAAAGAACAGCACAAAAATGGGAATCATGACATTTTATTTTGCAAAATATAGATAAGGTGGTTCTGAACCAAGACATGGCACCAAATATGACACAATTCTAAATTCTTCATAGCTCCAAGGGCTGCTTTTTTCAAAGGATCTTAGTGCACATACAGTGTAACAGTACAAACATAATGTACAGCAGGATGTATAGAGCATAGCCTCACCTGTGGCACTGTCAGCGTTGTGGTGTCACTCATTGCAGTCTCCATATAACTTGACTGAACATCCAGATGCTCAAACTGCTGTTCAAACTTGTCCATCAGAGCAGACACCTGTTTTATAGAAGAGTTCCTTAAATATTCATTACTCAATTAAAGGTGAGTCTTTAACTATTCAAGAATTATGGGTGGGTTCTGGCAAATAAAAGAGAAATTTTATCCAAAATTTTTGATGACACCTAAGTTAGATCTATTCTCCTCTACAGGGGTTTGATGAACTACTGTTAGATTCTTTTGCCATACTTTGAAAACCAAGAACAGAATCAGCTGTAGAATATATCCTAAAATACTAGACAGGGCTGTTTAAGAGATTAAAGAAAGGATCAGAACTTATTGAGTAGCTTATGACACACCTTTTCTAAATTCATGGATCTCATTGCTGAATCCATTGATTTCACTACACCTGCCATTGAGCCTGTCACCTGGAAATTACAGAAGAAACAATGACATGTCACTATCAGTCATGGTCTAAGAGTTTGAACTAAAATATACTAAGATTTACAGATGTTTATAAATCTTTAGTTCATATCTTTAATACCAACCTGTAATTAAATGAAATTGTTATTATGCTTTATGAT